CTGGGCCAGAAAAGGAAATTGTAAAGCATTTTTTTTAATAAATAAAGCCGCGAAGCAATTAAAGCCAGGAGAGGTTAGGATTGTGCTTCTTGGTACTCAGCAAGTTATTACTTACCCATCTCCCCCATGGGTGTAACAATTCAGAATGGCTCCGTAATGAATGTGTGCTGGGCCTAGCTGATTAAATAAGGCTGTCTGGGCTATTAATATTAAACAGCGGGTTACAACCACATTCATTATGTAGTCACTGACTGTACATCCCCCGGGAACACAGCAACCATTAACTTGAGAAGGAAATTCATGCGCTTGCCCTATATGCCTGGTCTTGCTTGCAAGGCTCCATAGTTGGAAGTCAGAGATGTTTTCGCAGTTTAGCTCCAGATAGACGCCAACAGAGTGAAGAAAGTTAAGTAAAAGGTAGCAATTGTTATCCAAAAACAAAAACCTTAAAATGACACTTAAAAAGAGTAAAAAGGAAATGGAAGGAGAATGCAGTACAAAGGTTGACTAAAGTGCATCTAGAAGCCAAACTTTTTTTTTTTTGGTGGTGAGTGGGTTAAGAATAGGGACGCACTGAAACTTCAAAGCTGAGTGTGTGCAAATAACTGAAGACATAGTATGCTTCCTGTGTCTCCTGTTATGAATAAACAGGAAGTGATTTACATTACTTCCTGTTCATTCATGATCGTGGACATAGTATGAGTTACTATGTCCACAATCAAGAATGGACAGGAGCACGCCGTATAGAGGCTTCCTGTGCATTCATAACAGGGGCTGTAGAAAAAATGATTTAAGACCCTGTTCTCAATCTTCTTCTTTTTGAACCTGTATCATTTCTATTGCGCAATAAAAAGAGGTTGTGGAATAAAGATTACATATATAAAAATATTAGTAGAGTTATACTTTAACCACATCTGAGCATCAGTTTTAAAGTATATCCAAAGCCAAATGTTTATCCAAACCTGAAAAAAAGTTTTGGCTTCAGATATACCCAAAACAGATACTCATATGATTAAAGTATATGTAGAGCCAAAGCTATTTAAAGCTGAACACCGGGCAAACAGCTAAATACATTTGGTCATCGGGACAGGTGGTAAAGGGGAAACCATCCAAAAAGGTACAAGAGGGGGGATTTATACTTTGTAGAGATTTTTCACATCCCGGTAAAGTGACCCCCCACCCCTTCCCCAGCCACCCAAAAAATAATCCCCTTATACTTACCTTTTTTTCCCCTTTAGCCAACGTCAAGGGTTGTCCTTCTTTCACTGGCAGTGGAGAGAGGGTAGGGGTGCAATTTACCCCCGGACAGTGTGGTGCTCATGTAATGACATGTGAGCGCCACACTGTCCAGGAGTACTGCGAGTCTACGCCAGCATGATGATGGGGTTTGTCCATGACAGCCTGGGCTCACAGGAAATGGTCTAAAGAAGATCGGATGTCATTTAATCTGAAAGACTGGTGCCATCTAGTGGGGGGGAGAAGAAATACTGCAAAAGGACAGCTCTATGCTCTAAAAGCTACACTGTCCAGGAGTACTGTGAGCCCACGCCGGCAAGATGATGAGGTTTGTCCACGACAGCCTGGACTCACAGGAAATGGTTTAAAATGCCGGCATGATGATGGGGTTTGTCCATGACAGTCTGGGCTGAGTGGAAATGGTCTAAAAAGGAGACTGGATGTCATTTAATCTGAAAGACAGATGGCCTCTAGTGGGGGAGAAGAGGTACTGCAGGGGACCGCTGATTATAGTATTGAACTAGATCTGCAGTGGTATGCCCCTAGCTGTCCTTACGTCTAATGCAGTAGAATGGAAAAGGCATTATGACGTAATCGGCCCTTAGAATGTGGGAGCCTGGGGAAAAAGAGGCTGGTCTAGCAGCCCGCAGGAAGCCAGGATCAGGTAAGTTAATCTGCTTTATTCCATCCCCTAGACCAAAATAAGCACTTGGCCCCACTGCAAGGGTATGTTTTTTGTTTTATTTGCCCAGAGTTCTTTAAAGATTTTTAATTCAATACCTCAGACACTATCCAAGAAAATTTACTGGACAAACATTAGGTCACAAATAAAAGTCATCCAGAGGTACATCATGGGGGACTACCAAGATTCTCTCTGCTCCATACAGCCAACAAATCCAATCACCCCCAATGGATAACAAATCCGCGGGAGCTGAAATTCTTTGTATTACCGGATTAAAGTAAAAACCGAGGAAAATTCTACAATCAGATTGCAGCGTGCATGGGTACCTACAATTTGCATAAAACCCTAATAGCGTTCTCCAAGCACCGGCAGACAAAAGCCGGATGATTATTGGCTTAAGACGTAAGCTTTCCTGGAACAATGAACAAAATACTATTATAAAAAAAATATGAATTTTTGGATGAGCTCGGTAATTAGAATATGTTAATTGGCGGTGACAGGTCCCCTTAAAGTTCGCTCATGTGTTACCAGCCTTTTGTAAAGAATCAGGAAAAAAAAAAAAAAGTCAAATTCTCAGATCTGCATGGGTGAGCGGCAGGAGAGGAACACCGAAATCTGGCTCCCATCCCCAAGTCGACTTCACAAAATCCACTTTGTTATTATTACAGAGAGCGCGGTTCAAACCGCACCTTAATGAGGAGCGCCGGCGCCCTCCTGAAATATTAATGATGGCAGGCAGGAGACATCTTGGAAGAGGGCCAACATTGTTGAGCGAGTGAGAGAGAGAGAGATTTGCCGTTTGAGGTGTGTGTCACTTACAAAGAGACTCTCTCCTTCCTCTATTCTTTTCGGTACAAACCAATTTACAACTCGCAGGACTTCAAAGCAGCTTTATGTAAACAAAACAAGCGGCATTAATCTCCCTCGGCGAGATCACACAATACGTGATTTACATGAGTTTAGCGAGAAGTTTGGTGTGTGTGTCCTCTAGTTTTTTTTGTGTGGAGATATGGTTGCTATGGAAACCTTTGTTCCATCCGTCTTAAGTTAAAAAATGGGACCACAAAATTTTATTGAAACTATGGGATTTCCCGGCCGACACCACTTAAAGTAGATGTACGAGCGATCACTAAAGTGTCACACAAGGTTTAACATGTTAAATGGTAATTTCAATATTTTTTTTAAAATGCAGGTTTCGTTAAAATACTTCTATGTTTTTTTTTCTGTGCAAACAGATGGAAAAACGAACATTCTTGGATATATTTTCTTTTCAGGTCGAATGTATGTCATGTAATACTGCTTTTTAGTCACTAGATAGAGCTGGGGAGCGTAGGAAATAAAGCGTTTTCTATGCTCCTCAGCTCCATCTAGTGGCCATTTTAGAGTATTACATAACAAGCATTCAGAAAGATTGGCAGGGAAATTGGCTCTGCAAATTGTAATGGCCACTTTATGATCCTGCCAAGGTGGCTCTCGTTCAGGCACTTCCTTCCAGGCTACACGATCCCCTATGTGCGTTCATGTCACAGCAAGCGACACGATCCCCTCTATCCCTCCCACTCACAGCAAGCTACACGATCCCCTCTATCCGTCCCTGTCGCAGCAAGCTGCACAATCCCCTTTATCCTTGCATGTGATTGATTACCCCTATACCCATCCATGTCATAGCAAGCTATACGATCCCCCATAGCCGCCCACGTCCCAGCAAGCTACACAGTCCCCTATATCCATCCATGTCACTGCAAGCTACATGATCCTCTATATCAGTCCATGTCACAGATCCTCTATATCCGTCCATGTCACCCCCAAGCTACACAATCCCCTATATCCATCCATGTCAAATGATACCATATCCCCACCCCCCATCTTGCCACAATTTATCATTTCAATGTGTAATTTTGCAGCCTTCTTGTTTTTCCCAACACGAAGGATTTACGCACGTGATTTGAAAACGTATCAAATGCGCTCATCACACTTTTCTCAGAGAAGTTCAAATATTCATGAGGCAGAAGTTAAAATTAATGCACGCCCGGGGTCGCCCATCACTGGGAGAGTTCAGGTAGCATAACCTCAATGAGCCCCATTAAATAACACATGTCAAAAGCGTAATATAGTTGGCGAATGTTGGGGTTATTAAAAGCCAAGTGCTAAAGACACCGGCGCAAAAACTCCGATCCGAGGACGAGTCGGGGAGGGAGAGGGAACATAATTAAACATATTGCGGGAGCAGCTGCAGCAGGCATGTAGCGGATCAAGGAAGAAATATTCAGCATGATACATGAAGCCCCTACATCTCAAGTCAAGCGCGTCGCGCCAGGGGAGGGAGGCAATCTGTATTCACATCCAGGGTCTGTGTACCACCTGTGTATTTACGGCTTTTTTTGCACATTCTTCCACTCTCCAATTCCCTCAATGCTTTTTCTTTTTTGTTTTTATTTTAATTTGAGGCACATTTAACCATTTTAGACCCAGCCGGCTTCTCCTCCTCGGGACCAGAACAATAGCTAGTTGAGATGAGTGCTTGTCCAACAATGGCCCTATTGTTTCCTAGTCAACCTATCCGCACTCGATAAATGTGGTTGAATACGCAGTGCTTTACCGTACCAGAAACTCATTGTTTTCATTGTATGAGGAAATATCCCCAAAATGTTTAAAAGAGGAAGTTCAGGAAATTTATAAAATGAACCCTTGCAATGAGGCTAACCCCACACTGCAAAGGGCTAACTGCCTGTGGTGGTCTAGGAGCTCAGATGAAGAAATACTCACCAGATGCACCATCCTGCAGCAGTGATCGCTCACCTCTCTTCCCCTCTGCTCAAGCTGTGGTATGTCACTCGGAGTCCTAATAGACCTGTATTAGACAAGATGAGGTCCTTAGACCGCTGGAGCCTGGGGGAGAATGGGGGGGGGGACTGGTCTAGCCGCCAGACGGGAGCAAGAATCAGGTGAGTACATAGTCTTTATATTTGCCCCTAGACCACAACAGGCAGTTACCCTTGCAGTGGGGCCAGTGGCGCAACTATAGCCATAGCAGCCCAGACAGCTGCTATGGGGCCTGGGGGTGGAAAGGGGCCCCATTAGGCTGTTGAGGCAAATTAAACATAGTACATGTGAAGATAATACAGTACTGTGTCATTAAGGGTTGGAGTGATTGCTGTTGACAACTCTAACCTCCAGTAAAGTCTACAGCGTAGAGACTTTGGGATCTTGGCATCATTACACACAGAAAGGTAATTCTTGCTATGGGGCCAAGTGATCTGTAGTTACGGCCCTGAGTGGGGTTACCCCTGCACTGCAAGGGTTACTTTTGTACATTTCCTGGAGTTGTTCTTTAAAGCTGCTGTCAATGGTCCTATAGTAAAAAAGAAAATCCCATAATTAAAGATCACCAAATGAAAAAGTTCTAGCTATCTGCCAAAAAAATAATAATAATCATCTGGGTACCGTGTTGCATGACGGAAAACACTAAAATAAAAGGCCTGGTACTCAAGTGGTTAAAGTGCATTTCCTCTTTTTGCAGACATCTATTTTAGATTTGTTACATGTTCCCACATAGAACTTTATTTTTCTTTATTTAAAAATTGCTGCTTGCACAATACACGCTCTATTCTGAAAGAAAAGTTGTTCCCCGTACGGAGTTTTGCTATGGAATAGAAAGGGGAAAGCTTAATATTTGCATAATTAACCCCATCTGTACTGTGCTGGCAGATCTCATTAGTTGTAAACTAGAATTGAACACTATCTGTCCTAACAAAGGGTTAAAGATCCAGCAGCATTTTATGTTAATGAGAGGAGATCAGTCTGTCCCTGTTCTTTCTATGGGCACAGGCAAAGTTTCCGGTCACTTGAAGATTGAGGGAGAAGCTTGCAAAAGCTCCGGCTACACAGACACATCTAAAACAGTAAGAAATATACGTTTGAAGATTATTTTTTAGCTATTCTGTGTGAATGGGAACACAACATATAGTGAGGCGTTTTCAAATTTGACTGCAAAAGTGGATATACACTTTAAAATAGATTGCAGAACAAGTACAGCCAGGCGGGACCGAGAATCAGGTGAATATATCCAATTTTATTTTTGACCCTAGACCACAACAGGCAATTAACCCTTGCAGTGGGGCCAGTGGCTTAACTACTATTATGGTTTCCCAACTGGCTGCTAGGGGGTCACTTTTTGCTGCTTTCTGTGTGGTCCAATGCAAGAAACCTACAGGTGCAATTTAATAAAAATTGTAATCTGGAATGGATTACAATATAACGATACAAATGCATCAATCCTAGGTTTTGCCCTAACTTAGAGTGACCCTGCAGGGTTATTTGTATATAAAATAAAGCTGGCCATACACCTGTCAATTTGTTACGTTCAACCCACAGGCTGAACGAAAGAAATTGACACGATTCCTCCATCAAAACACAAACAGCGTGTCGATGGAGGAATCCCATCGTTTCCATTGTATTCCGACAGGTGGCGAATACCGATCAGAGTGTGTAGCGCATTGGCTGCCAGCTCCGATCGCACAGAGTTTTTCCAGCAGGCACCTTCGATCAAGGAATGCTGGCTGAAAGGAAGGGAGGCAACAACCCCACACACTGTGTGGATTTCGGCCTGCACATCAAAAACTGGCCAGTGTATGGGCACCTTTATACCTGGCTAGAGGAGTAAATATACTTGCCCCCCCAGTGGCCCACGCCTTCAAAGCTGCTGCTTCGCTGCTCTCTGACCGCTGCAAGTGTTTGACCTTTCAGGTGGGTTGAATGCCAATTGGCTTGTATGTCCTGTAGCGACTTACAAGCAGGCAGGAGAAACCGTAGTGTGCAACAGGGAAGCAGATAGCCTCCTGGGCTATTGTACTTTGACAGCCGGAGCCTGATTGGCTGCAGTTGCTATTCAGTCGCTAATCAACTGGCAGTTTTCATCCAGGCACCTTCGACAAAAGACTACCAGAAAAAAAATTGACTTGACAGAGCCAGACACAATTTCTCCAATATTTTGGCCAAGTCAAGAGGACTTTGAATTTGAGAAGTGTATGGCCAGTTTAAGGCTAGAGTTCAGGCAGAGTCATCCAATCAATGATTCCCTGTGTTCCGGCAACGGTTCAGAATCCAAAGAGGCTCATATTAGATTATATGTATTGTACAGGGCTTCTTTTTAGTTTATGTTACAGGAGAGCTGGGCGGTGGTGGTAAGGAGTGGGGGTTTGGGGGGACTAAACTGGATAAGTGTTGAATATCATTTAATTCCATTTTAAATTAAATCTGAAGCCTGCCACTGGTAACAGCTCTTTTTTTTTTTCTCTCTTTTCTCGGCACTGGAAAATGGCTTATTTGAGGTAATGAAAAGAGGCAGCATGCAATTTCGAAGGCTGCGGTCTCGCTGAGGAAAAATGTCAGGCTTCCCGGTGCCAATGAAGACTCATGTCACCCCCGAGCCATTAAACTCATTTATCTTACCTCTTCACAGTTTCTGGAGCTGACCTGCGAGGACCTCGTCCCGTCGTCTTCGGGCTCTATTACCGTCTCCTCATCAAACTCTTCCAGGGAGTCCTGCAGCTCAGGCACAGTCCGTCTGCCGTACCTCTTGCCGTCCTTGATGTACTTTGGCTGGGCTTCCAGGGAGCAATCTGCAGTCAGAGATCAAAGCAAAAAAAAAAAGTACTTAGTGCTCTTCTCCGAGACAGCTACAAGAGCCTTTGGCTTGTCAGCATGCATCCATAGGCAACCACATGGTAATAAGCGATTAGGGTTCAGGAAAGTATAGCGTCAAGCCTGCTCATGCCGACCCTGTGGGGCCAATTTCTTTCCCCTCATGGTTCATGCCTGCGGCATGACCTGTCTGCGACCTATGTACTTTTTCTGATAAGAAAAACCACACACTCACCAGAAAATAAAACACCAAAAAAAAAGAAGGGGGAGGAGGGGAGTGAGCTGTAGAAGGAACTGAAAAAGAATTCAATATCATACTACCCACTACCAAGCTGCTTTACAGGCACTAAGCGCCAAAGCCACAAATCTGCAACATATAGGACATTAGGTAACAAGCTATAAAAGTTGGTCATATGTGTGCCGCCTTTCAGGCAATTTCATCCCCTTTCAATTGAAATCCTGAGCGACCATATGCAGAAATTTGTGGTTTCAAATCGACCACAAGGAAATGAGATTGAAAACCGATTGAACCCCAGGAGAAGACAATTGATCACTTTTTACTGAAATTGCCCTCATGCCTTTTTTTGGCTGCAATTGTTTTTTTTCCAGTATGGTGTACAGCAGCTATCAATTTATAACCCAGTTCAATCGATCTAATTCAGGCGAATGGTCAAACTCATGGCTGGTAGAATGCTTGGGTTCACTCAAGCACTTCTCAGTTGTATGGTCGATTCCCAGTTGACTGAAGTGGTGGAAATACCCTGAAAGTTGCCAGCCTTAGGGGGCGAGTTATACAAGTTTTACACGTATACACATTTGTATTACTACGGGGGCCGTCAACAATGAATAATGGGTGTACCTATTGGTTATAGGTATAAAGAAAAACCAATGCTTAGGTTTGAGCTATGTGGAGCATTGGAACCAGTGCAGTTCTCGTATCCATACACCCTTGGCACCAGGACAATTTTTCTGCTCTTGACCCTTTGATTCAGTAAGAAGTGTTGACAAAGTTAGGTAGAAAGCACAAGAATTACTTTTTGTAACATTGTCTTGCTATTTTATTCCCTATGTAATCTATAGGCAAAAATATTTTAAAACAAATGAGGGATCAGGTCACGGCTGTCATTTTGACAGCTGGGATTTGCCAGCAACCGTGATCAGGGAAGGGGTGGCAGGCGGAAAAGAAAAAACATACCCAAGGTACTTCATGGTAGTACACTCCAAGACCAACTGGTTCAGTCTCTTGCGTCTAAGAGATTTAACTACTTGCTGGCAGTCACCTTAATAGGATAAAAGTACACAGGGGATTTGTAAGAACTCAATCCTGCAACGTAAATCGCTAGAAGTAGTAGTAGCAGCAGCAGCAGCAAGTGACAAACAGAAGAAATGGCCCTCTATAGAGAAGGCTTCCCAAGTTGCATGTAGCAGCATCTTGCAGCAATCAATCACACATTAATCACGCATTGTGTGTTCATGAGAGATTGATAGCTGCTTCATTCTACTGGTGTAGCTCACTCCATAGGGAGCCATTGGTTTCGTTGAGCCATTTGTTCCGCGATCATTTGCTACATCTGGCATTTATTCTCTAGCAATTTTGGTGCCGGGACTGAGCAGCTAAAATCTCCTTAGCTTCTTCCAGTGACTTGCAGCAAGTGGTTAAACTTCTTAGTAGCAACGGATTAAAAAAATCGTCATTGCAGTTTAGCCCTGTTAAAAACTCTAGGGAACTTAAAAACCCCGACAATGTACTTCTCTCATTTGCTCTTCTTGGTCTGCTAAATATACCATTGGAAGTGTTATATTGTCACATGGCGGTTTGTTATATCTGTTCAATAAAAGCAAAAAACTACCTTTGGACTCCGCCACGATCATGTAAGGTGATAAGTCTCTGCCTATGCACAAGGAGGGGTTATGGAGATGAGCAGGAAGGAGGAGGAGGAGAAAGTAAGGAGAGGTTATGGAGACGAGCAGGAGGGAGGAGGAGAAGGTAAGGAGAGGTGATGGAATGTTCTAGGCCTTTAGGTAGGAACCGTTGGCTGCAGAGAACTGCACTTGGTCTGATATAGAACCCAGGGTGGTACCACCCTCTTAGCACTGTAGGAGTCTAGACCCTCATTGGGAGCAGTATGTGTGCTTTTAAGCACCCCCCTGGAAGCTAAGGATAGGTTATGGAGACGAGGAGGAGGAGGAGGAGGAGGAGGAGAAGGTAAGGAGAGGTTATGGAGATGAGGAGGGGAGGAGGTAAGGAGAGGTTATGGAGATGAGGTTTGTGTCCTTTTAAATCCTCCAGAAATTAAGTGCTTAGGAAATTATAGCTGCGTTGTCAAGAGGAAGTTAGGAACACACTATTTCTGGAATTTTTTTTTTCTCCTTTCGCCTTAACATGCACTGTAAAAAGACAAAGAAGATGCTACTCTGCAGACAAAGTCTGTGTTTTGCAAGGCAAAGAAACAGGTTCATTATAAAGACCTTTTTATAACAGATATTCAGTCAACTTTGAGGTGAGTGATTTTCACTCAGCCTCATAATCTGAGCCGACCTGTGACAATGAAACTGTCACAGGTCAGCTCAGTAGATCGGGAAGTGAGTGAACACATACCGGCGCTCGCTCACTTCTCAATCCTGTCCCTGCAGAGAGCGGCGACTGTCACTCATGGCTCCCTACTATCCAGGGGGTACTTGGTTCAATCAAATGATTTGGCGGTATAATGCAAACTTTACCATAGATCATTAATTCGCATCCAGATCACAGGAAACCATATAATAATACCAGCGGCCAGCAAAGTATCAATGGGAATCGATCGCTAAATTCGAGAGAAAGCCTCTCTTGTACGCCTCATGCACATTCTGCCCATCTTGCATGGGCAGCACAATTATACGTGCATCACAAATGCCTATTAAATCCTTTGGGGCTTTGTGTTTAAAAGTCCTTTGAAACTTCATTATATTTTCCCTGTTAATTTATATTCCATCGTGCGGTTCAAGGACAAAAAGGGATGTCAGAACAGCACCAAATTAATAAGATCCTGAAGAAAGGGAGCGGGAGGTGGGGAGTTGTTCATCGCAAAGGTCTTTGTGATTTGAAAACCACCAAAAGATGTCTTCAGCCGGCACATCAATAGCAAGGCCGAATTTACGATTCATTCAACAGAACACTTCAAAACAGCGCGTCAAAAACCATCCTGCAGATATGTTCCTTTAATAACGAGCTGCGAGCCTGAAGTGTATCATCTAGGGACGCTCCAGATGCATTATTAAATATCCAGATCTGAAAAGTATTTTATTTGCTTGAATTACATTGTATCCATAAATTCATCAGCAGCGCGGAGCGTAGCGGAGAACCCTGTGTGAGCTTCTCATGTTTTCCCGAATTTTTAATGGCTGTGGAGCACTTGCAGCAAAGTCACAATGAGTCCCCGTGAATCTGGGCTTCGTGTCCTTTTAATTGGAACATAGCAGTGATGATCTTACAGTTAGCATTTTCCTGCATGCAGAATTTCAGACTGGTAATTACAACTTGCTTAGATACCCCGAGTGTTGTCAGAGCAGATAGATTAGCATTTTCCCAGTGAAGATAATGTTTAAAAGACGTTTCAAAATCGCCATTGCTCAGGCTGCAATATACTCACCTTCAATCCTCAGCTGATGCGCACCACATGATGCCCTTGGCCATTTGGGTTGAAATAGTCATTTGATCCCAGATGCCCACACAGTGAATGCAGTGCGTCTTTGGACTTCCCCAACTCTTGGGCTTTTTAAAATTGCCATTGCAATACTCCCCTTCAATCCTGAGCTGCCGTGTACCACAAGATGAATCATTTAAACCCAGATGCCCATACAGTGAATGAAGTGCGTCTTTAGACTTCCGCCAACGCTTTTTAAAATTGCCATTGCAATACTCGCCTTCAATCCTGAACTGCCGCATAGTGCTTCCTTTTCACCACAAGATGTCCTTGGTCATCTGATTTGAATAGTCATTTGACCCCCAGATGCCCATACAGTGACTCCAGTGAGTCTTTGGACTTCTCGAGGGATCGTCACTAAGCCGCCCTTTACTCATGGCGTATGCAGAAAGTGGTGCTGATGTCGTCAATGCTTTTGACATCAGAAGATTGCCTACTACCATGAGAAAAAGGGGCAAAGTGTCATGTGACCAGCCTCAAAACATCTGAAAAATGCAAGTGTAAAACAAAAATATAGTGCCAAGGTGGTAAGAAAGGGTTGGGGCTGGGTTCGGACGTGGACTGTCACTTCTCCCCTCCACCACTGGCAGCACTACTGAGAGTAAGGCAGGGATGGACAAATGAACAATGAACATGGCATCCAGTGGGAACATGGCATCCAGTGGGAAGTGACAGGTTCTCTTAACAGGCAAACCCCCACCATCCACCTACCCACTCCTTTGTCTGTTGTAGACCTCTGAAATACTTGTAAGTACCAAGTATGGGTGAGCATGCGACCTTCTCACCTCCAGGGCCGGACAGTACCCAGGAGTCAGGAAGGCAGTGCCTATAAATTTTACAGATGGCGCCTAACTTTTGAGGTTCTCTCTGGTTGTGGGCAATGGAGTTGGCTCCTGGATTGGACAAACTGGATGCCATGTTCATTGTTCATTTGTCCATCCCTGCCTTACTCTCAGTAGTGCTGCCAGTGGTGGAGGGGAGCAAGTCATGAATCCCATGTAAGCTCCAACACATACCAACGTGGATTTTACAACAGGGATTATATTTAGGGCTCTGACGGGCACACTAAGCGGCAGGGGAGGGTAGAGATGGAGAATATCAGTGTTTGGGGAAGGGGGGGGGGGAAGAGACATTCAGGGCAAGTGACCAGTGCAAAGAAGACAGTATAGACATCTTCCAGAACTCCCTGTAATCTTCAATTGCCCCGATATGCAAATACAAACCTAAAGCAAATGCAAACCTAAAAGAGATGAAGGGGTCAAAACAAGACCACACCAGGTACCGATGTGCAATTT